GTGGGTGGGGGGATGGATTAAATAGTTGATGGGGATTAAGGAGCATACTTGTGATGAGCACTGGATGTTGTATGTAAGTGTTGAATCACTAAATTCTATACCTGAAACTAAAAAAAGAGAAAAAGAATAGCTTTTAGTTGGATGGACCCATTTGAAGTTAACAGGTAAAAATTTCTGGTGTAATACAGTGGGTTTCTACTCCTAAACTGGGTTGCAGAGGATTGGAAAATTGGTATTCAAGAATTTTTGTCAGAAATTTTGGGTTCCTAGGGAACCTTTAATGTTAGGGAGGTTATAGTTATGGTGCACTCTAGTAGAACTAAAGGACTATATTGCTTGGAATTACATTCCTGTGTATTTCCTGTGACTTGGGAGTTAGGTCTAGAGATTTGGTTAGATTCATTTGTGATTCCTTTGGCAAGAATACTTCATAGATGGTGGTTTGTATTTCTGCCAGGAGGCACAGAGTGTCTGGTTGTCTCTCATCTTAGGATGTTAGTGCTGTCGGTGGTGATTATTCTGTCATTCCTTTTTCGTGTATGAGCTGAAATATTTATACAAAGGTTTTTTACCTATTACCAGGTTACTCTGGGCAACAGTTTGAGTATGTCTGTTTATTTACCATGATTCAAGATAATAAGTTTGTTTCCTAACATTCTCCCAAGATGACCAATGAGGTATTTTGCTTTTTTTGTTTTTTAAAATATTATCATGAATTTATAAATTCAAGTTTGTTTGATGTGTTTTGGTATATTTCAGGTATACAAAGTTGTTTCAGCTTTGGCTAGTGGGAACTTCTTGAGTTTATCATATGAGTGCTTTTGACCTGATCCTGGTCGTGTTTGGTAGTTTCCTTGCTGTCTGGTAGGACTATTAGCAATAATCGCGCCTCGGATAAACCTCGTTGGCTACGATACTGCCACTGTGCAAAACTTGTCTGGTAGGACTAGTTGTTTCAGATTCATCTTGTACATTTCCTGCCCTATGCTGCGAAATGGTATTTTAAGACTATGAGAACAAGAGATATTCATTGTTATTGAGTTGGTCATTATTTCCACAAGAAAGCCAAGAAATACATACTGTATCATTTTAAGATTTGCCTATTGTTAGTACACAGATATTTCCAATTCAAGTTCAGGACTACATCATTTTTACTTAACCTAATTGATCTGAATCTATATCTGCCATACCAAAAATCCTGGTTCTCATCATAATTACATCAATATTATCACAAACATATGATTACTATTAACCATTTAAGATTTTTTAGTAGCTCTTTTTATCTCCAGGGTATATCCATATGCTAGGGATATATATAGCCAGAATATAGTCAAATCATAAATTTTAAAGTCCTTTAAAATAATCCGTTTGTGTGATTCATTTATTTCATTTTATGTTAATTTTTAGGAATGCTTTAAAATTTTTTCTAAATATATAACATATATGTAATTCTCTAAAGTCTAATTTACAAAACAAGGTGTATTCAAGGAAGTCTAGCTTCCATCCCTTTCCCCTCTACCCTTAGTTTATTTCCCCTTCTCCCCCACCCCATTTTTAGTTCATCCTTTCATTTTAAAAAGTAAGCAAATAATTGGTGTATTCATTGTTTCACTTTTTTTTCTTTCCTCACCTTCTTAAACAGTAGCATACTATACATATTTTTTTCCCATCTTGCTTTCTTCACATAATCATATATCCATCCTGTAGATCACTCCATAGTAGTATATAGAAGTATTCTGCATAATCAGTCCCCAGAATTGATTTTGTTTTACAAAGGGATAATTTTAGTTTTATTCATTTTATTTTTATTTTTTAAAGATTTTATTTATTTATTTGGCAGAGTGAGACACAGCAAGAGAGGGAACATAAATAAGCAAGGGGAGTGGGAGGGGGAGAAGCAGGCTTCCCACTGAGCAGGGAGCCCGATGTGGGGCTCAATGTGGGGCTCGATTCCAGAACCCTGGGATCATGACCTTGAGCCGAAGGCAGACGCTTAACTGACTGAGCCACCCAGGCACCCCAGTTTCTTTGTATTCTTAATGGCTTTGTGTGTAATAGTAAATATTTGTTAAAATGAAACTTTATTATTAAAACATCTCAAGAAGAGCTTTTCAAGCTTAGTTTACATTTTCTTGTGGCTTCATTGATTCACAATAATTAACTGTAGTAATAATTTTTTAAAATTTTTAATTTTTAAGTTTTAATTTTAATTCCAGTGTGGTTAACATACAGTGTAATATTAGTTTCAGGTGTACGATATAGTGATTCAGCACTTCCCCACATCACCCTATGCTCATCACAGCAAGTGCACTCCTTCAGCCCATCACCTGTTTCACCCATCCCCCCACCCATCTCCCCTCTGGTAACCATCAGTTTGTTCTCTATCATTAAGAGTCTGTTTCTTGGTTTGCCTCTTTTTTTTTCCTTTGCTTGTTTTGTTTCTTAAATTACACATACAAGTGAAATCATATGGTATGTCTTTCTCTGACTTTTTTCACTTAGCATAATATACTCTACCTCCATCCACGTCGTTGCAAATAGCAGGATTTCATTCTTTTTTATAGCTGGATAATATTCTTTTGTATGGTATACCATATCTTCTTTATCCATTCATCTACTGATGGATACTTGGGCTTTATCTATAATTTGGATATTGTAAATAATGCTGCTATAAATATAGGGGTGCATGTATTTCTTTGAATTAGTGTTGTTTTTGTACTTTTGGGGTAAATAACCAGTAGTGCGATTACTGGATCATAGGGTAGTTCTATTTTTAACTTTTTGAGGAACGTACATACTGTTTTCCACAGTGGCTGCACCAATTTGCATTCCCACTAACAATGCAAGAGAGTTCCCCTTTCTTCCATAGTAATATTTTTTAATATAGCCTGTATCCTACATGTGTTGTGGTACCTGAATGCTCTGTATCAGAATTTGAGAACAATTCAGTAGGTTTTTTTTTTTTTAAAGATTTTATTTATTTGAAAGAGAGGGAGTGCACAAGCGGAGGGAGAAGCAGACAGGGAGCCCAAAGCAAGGCAGACACTTAACTGACTGAGCCACCCAGGCGCCCCCTCAATATGGTTAATCAAACATCAAATTAGTCATCTCTTTATAAAATCTCAATCTTAAAAGTACTATGTGTAGGAACGCCTGGGTGGCTCAGTTGGTTAAGTGTCTGCTTTAGGCTCGGGTCATGATCCCAGGGTCCTGGGATCGAGTTCCGCATTGGGCTCCTTGCTCAGCGGGGAGCCTGCTTCTCCCTCTGCCTGCTGCCCCCCCCCCCGCTTGAGACTTGTCTTTCTCTCTCTGACAAAATCTAAAAAAAAAAAAAAATTACCATGTGTAGTTATGTGTTTTAATTTTATATATCCTCCTAAAGGCGGCTAGTATTCTGCTGATCCTAATATATTTATAGTTTGGACTACAAAAACATATTAAATTTAACTCTTAAATTTCTACACAAAACTTTATTTTTTAGTTTTTCTTTCAAAAATGTTATTTAAATTCAAGTTAGTTCACATATAGTGTGTTATTAGTTTCAGAGGTAGAACTTAGTGATTCATCAGTTGCATGTAATACTCAGTGCTCATTACATCCAATGCCCTCCTTAATATTCATCACCCAGTTACCCCATCCCTCCACCCACCTCCCCCCCAGCAACCCTCAGACGAAACTTTATTTTTTAATGGACTTTTTAGAGCAGTTATGGTTCACAGAATTGAGCATACAGAGATTTCCCCATATCCTCCTGCCCCACACATGCAGTGTTCTGTTAATCAACACCTGCACCAGGGTGGTATAGTGGTTACAGTTGATGTGCCTACACTGAGAATGCATATTTCACAGTTTACTCTAGGGGTCACTCTTTGTTTTTTAATTAACATGTAATATTTGTTTCAGGGGCACACATCTGTGATTCATCAGTCTTACACAATTCACAGCGCTCATCATAGTACATACCCCCCCTAGTGTCCATCACCCAGCCACCCCATCTCTCCCACCTAGGGGTTACTCTTGGTGTCATACGTTTTATGAGTTTGGACAGATGTATAATGACATATATCTACCATTCCAGTAACAGAGTGTCTTCACCGCCCTCATACTCCGCTGTGCTCTTCCTGGTCCTCCAATCCTCCCCTCAAGCCTTGATTTTTAACATTTAATTTTAAAATGAGCTTAAGACCTCAGAATTTTGTTTTACACAAATCATTTCAGCCCATCCCTTTCAGTGAAAATAACTATTAGGAAATACTTCTAATAAAAGTAGTTCATCAATACTGTAGAATTGGAGTCAGATGCCTTCATTTTCATGTGTGAAGGCCACCATTTTTTCTTCAGTCTTATACTAACAGGATTTTTTTTATTGTGATGTTGACGAGTAGCATGTTACTTTCAGGTGTATAACAGTGATTTGATATTTATGTTTTGAAATGATCACAATAAGTCTAGTTAACATATAGCACCATAGATAAAATTTTTTTACTTGTGATAAGAACTTTTGATATCGACTTAGCAACTGCCAGATATGCAATACAGCATTATTAACTGTGGTCACCACGCTGTATATTACATCCTGTGACTGACTTAGAAATTTTCTTTCTCAGGAGAAATTCTGATCACATCATGATTATTTTCAGTCCCATTCGATTTGATTTAACAAAGAAAAATTCCAACCTAGTCATTTTACCTTAAATGTGGAAGTGGCTGAGTCTACATTTGGATTATTGCCATCATTTGAGTGTGGACTCCTGTGGGACAATCTTCAACTAACTGTAATCTGCACTCAGAAAGGAAGGAGACTTCCTCACACTGCTGCTCTTGGACCTCTTTTTGGCCATTTAATCTCTGGGTTTTATGAGAATATGAATTTATTGAATAACTCTAAAAACAATTTAAGCAAAGGTTTAATTATCATTAAGACTATCTTACTTATTGATGACACTCTCTACCTGGTTTCTATGTATATGGTTGACTCTTTTTTTCATTTCTTCCTCTAGTGCATTCCACTCTTTGTTCAACTTGTTTTGGAGAGATTAACCCGAGGAGTCAAAACTAGTGAGCTCCGTACCATGTGTCTTCAGGTTGCAATTGCTGCCTTGTACTACAACCCTGATTTGCTGCTACATACTTTAGAACAAATTCAGTTGCCTCACAACCCTGGACCTATAACTGTACAGTTTATAAATCAGTGGATGAATGATACAGATTGTTTTCTTGGGTATGTGTTTTGGATTTTACGCTACATTTCTGTTTCTGGAAAGTTGACTTTTAAAAGTGTATAATAGCATATGGAAAGATAATTTTTTTAAAGAATATTTAGTGTATTAACATAATATTTACTTTTAGAGAATTAATGTGTTTCAGTAGTATAATCTAGTGGAAAGAATGCAGTCTCTGAAAATTAGTTATAGCCTATCCCTACTTGTTTTTGACTTATGTGTTAGCATTAGATCTTGAGGCTACAAGAATTAAGTGTCCATCTGGTTCCATGACTATTAAGTGTCCATAGGCAAAAACATTCTAAATGGGGTCAGGTTTCTAAGGAAAATGCCAGTTTGGTAAAGATGTCTTGCCCCAGGATATTGAACCCTGCAGATCTCAGGGGAGCTTGTTCTCAAATATGAGGTCAGAAAGAAGGATTGTTTGTTGTAGCCCAGGTGCTGCCCCAGTGGGAGAGGGTGTCTTTATGTGAAGTACTCTCCTAGTTTTCAAACTTAGGAAAAGTGAGATGCCAAGTAGTAGGTACATGCCCTCCTCCAGTGACTGAACACCTATTCGTGACTGTTATGCTAGAATTTCAACTCTGACGATGGCTTACTGGGATTGTTATACCAAATATAGTAGTCTTGCCATTCTCAATATTTTTAAACCACTTAGAAGAAACAAAAATGTATATAATGTATACTGGTCAAACTTTTTTCCTTCAGAATCAGATTTTTCTTATCCTATGTTAAAGCAGAGAACATTTAATGGATTTAGTTAGAGCCATCAAGTTCACCTTATTATATGCTGAGTTTCTGAATAGCTTTTGGCACCTGCGGTTAGTGTACAGTGTATGTGTTAAGAAACCTTGTAGACCAATCTAATGCAGAAGACAGAGTCTAAATTTTTCCTTTTTCCCGTTGGTTAGGAATTTCATGCTGTCAAATACAGGTGTTCTTGCTTTAATAGAACTTGTATGCCAAGGTCCAGATATAGCATTCATATCATAAATTGATATTATATCAAGATTCACCATATTAATTACAGACTTCTGTAGCTCTGATGATAATTGGTTTTTACAAAACTTGATTTATGTAGGATTTCATATGGTACAAAAGGGGGGATAGATACCTCTGTATAATTCTATTGAATGAACCCTTAAATATTACCTTGGCCATTTTTTCTTGTAGTTTCTTCAACTATCCTCATTTCTCATGAGCACATTTTTTTTCTTTGTAATTTGTAGGCATCATGACCGGAAGATGTGTATAATAGGACTGAGTATCCTTTTGGAACTGCAAAATCGACCTCCTGCAGTAGATGCTGTAGTGGGACAGATTGTACCCTCAATTCTTTTCCTTTTCCTTGGCTTGAAGCAGGTCTGTGCTACCAGGCAACTGGTAAACCGCGAAGATCGCTCAAAAGTGGAGAAGGCTGATATGGAAGAAAACGGTAAAGTCTTCTCATTGCAATGAGTGCTAGAATTGATTTTGATTTGAGCATGCTTTTTTTTAATTTTAATTTTAGTCTATTTGGAGTCATTAAACAGTTACATTTGGCTTGTTGCACATTTAACAAATATTTTGGGGTGGGTTTACAGATCCTGTGATGTAAATTTAGATTTGTTCACTTTCTGCCATTTAAGTAATTATTGAACTTAATGAATGTTGTTACGCCCTGGGAAATACAAATGCATTTATAACAGAATCAGATGGTTTTGATAACAAGTTAGCAACCAGTTATTTCATTTTCTTATTTGTGCCGACAGTGTCAGTGAAGTCAGCAGCATGAATTAAATGAACCATTAGTTAAGAGCAGAAGTGACAGCATAGCAGATTAATGGAGAGTGCCTGATACATTTGTTTTTTAATGGTTCTTAAACTATATTTGGGAGATACTTATGGTTTATGTATTAATAAATTTAGAATAAAGTATACAAATGAAGGTTATTTGCTTAATTGAGAGTCAGAATAAGATTGTTAGAGTCAAGGATATTAGATCTTTATTTTATTTAATGATACTGCAGAAAACTACTTACTTGGGCCCAGGAAGTAACATTATCCAACACCAAATGGAGTTTTTCCTCTTTTGGTTAAAAACAGACATTTCTTTAAATGAGAAAAATCAGAACTTATCATGGAAAACATACATCTTTATTTTTGATGCTAAATTCTATGATTTTGGTGACTGTAGATTTAAAATATTTTACATTTAATTGGCATCATCCTGGTTTGTTCATGTACAAGGAATGGTACCAGTCCCTAACCCCTAAAACTGCGCACATCTTCTGATCTGATTTTTCTTTCTCTCAAAATAAAATTTAAAAGAGAGAGAGCATGTGCACATGTGCTGGGGGGAGGGGCAGAGGCAGAGGGAAAATCCTAAGCAGGCTCCTTGCCCAGCTTGGAGCCTGATGTGGGGCTCAGTCTCTCAACCCTGAGATCATGACCTGAACTGAAATCGAGAGTCGGACACTTAGCCCACTGAGCCACCCAAGCACCTCTAATTTGTTTTTCTGAATACCACGTAGAACTTTTGCAGTAATGCTTCTTTATTAGAAGGGTTTTGTTTTTTGCTCAGTGTAGGCCAACAATTACAGAATTCCTTTTTTCAGAATGTTATAATGTTCTCTAATTTTTTGTTTTGTAAACTGTTGGTTTATAACTAATATGACTTGAGAAAAACTTTTCTAGTACTTTCCCAGATTTTCCTGTTGAATTTCCACTGAAGTATAGAATGATTAATTAGGAAAGGTATTTCTTGCTCTTTGTAATTATACCTTTGCCATATATATATACACACACACACACACATACATGATGATCAAAACTAGGGTTTCTTGCCTTACCCCTAAAACTGCTTCACAGTTTAATTCAGGTGCTTCAGTGTGGTATGTTTATAGAACTATTATTTTTGGAGTAATATTGCCTAGTTTGGGTTTACCCCAGCTCTTTCCCTTTTAGGTTGATGTTGTTCTGCATTTACTGTCTTCTGGTTATTTACAGTATTGGGCTAACTGCTTAAAACAGATTGTCACTGAAAATAAAACAATCCATGATGATATACAATTCAGCTTTCAACTTTTCACCCCACATGTAGCTAATTTTTCTTTATTTCTGTATTTTTCTGTTTCTGTTAGCAGGGATGATCTCATTTGAGCACTTCTAAGCAGTTCGTAATCAATTTAGGTGACTGTTAAGAGACCATAACATTCTTGGGGCGCCTGGGTGGCTCAGTCGTTAAGCATCTGCCTTCGGCTCAGGTCATGATCCCAGGGTCCTGGGATCGAGCCCCACATCAGGCTCCCTGCTCAGCGGGAAGCCTGCTTCTCCCTCTCCCACTCCCCCTGCTTGTGTTCCCTCTCTCTGTGTGTGTCTCTCTCTGTCAAATAAATAAAATCTTAAAAAAAATAAGACCAGATTTTCAGTGGGAGGTCATTGTTATTTAAAACACGTGCACTGACCATACACTTGTCTTTTTTTTTTTTTTGACAGAAAAGTCAATTTGGGACTCTGATTAAATAGCATTTTTGTATTAAAGAGTAGAGGCAGCCATAGCAAAACAGTAGTAATGTCCAGCAGACTTTAGATTTAGGGATACTTGGAAATTGTTTTTAGTGAGGAGGATAAAGTCATTTTCAATTTAGCAAACTACGGTAAAGGTTTTTTAGCATTTCATGTAAAAATAGGTGGTAATTTTCCCATTTCCAGAATGTTTTGTCCTTTTGTGTTTTCATTCCTCTTAAATAATTAATGGGTTCACAGAGGAGATTTCAAGTGATGAAGAGGAGACAAACGTAACCGCTCAAGCAGTGCAGTCCAATAACGGAAGAGCGGAGGCGGAGGAGGAGGAGGAGGAGGACTGGGATGAAGAAGTGTTGGAGGAAACCGCCCTTGAGGGATTCAGCACTCCGCTTGACCTTGACAGCAGTGTGGATGAATATCAGTTTTTTACACAAGCTCTGCTAAGTATGTCTTTACTCCCTAACCCTTCAGATATTTTCTCTAAAGTCTACCTTAATTTCCTTCGGTTAGAAGTTGTTTTGGGATCTGCCCAAAATTGGTTTAGATGTTAAATTTGGTTTTAGTTGTGTTGAGTTTGTGGTAAGCTGTCCACATGGAAAAACCTGGGAGGCTCGGGGGCTGGTTTTGCCTAAAGCACCAATTTGAGTTCTTGGTGGCGGAGCGGTATTGAAGCTGCAGGTACTCTGAGAAGCTGGAGGAAAATGGCAGCACCTGAGTAGAGGTGTGTGCCAAGATCTGGAATTTAGGGAGCATAGTTAGTAAACCCTCAGGAGGAAGAGAATGGCGAAGGAGGCAGAGACCTGGGCAAAGCAGAGATTGGCAATGTGTTAACCGTCCTCTGATCATCCCACGTGGTTGGATACAGGGTGCGTATTTTTGTTTCGTAAACTGGGGGTTTAACAAAAATAGTCCTTTGCCGGAGTAAGTTTTACCACCTTGTGTTTGTGATGGTGTTGTACTCTGTCTCTTACTGTCTGCAGTCATCTCATCGTACTTTTATTATCATGTCACTAGACTCTCTTTCTTCTTCTACACCCGCCTCCCCCGCCCCCACCCTCCCGTGCAACAGCTGTGCAGAATCGGGATGCTGCCTGGTACCAGCTCCTCATGGCACCGCTCAGTGAGGACCAGAGGAGGGCGCTGCAGGAGGTGTACACCCTGGCAGAGCACCGGAGGACAGTGGCAGGTCAGCTCACCAGATCTCCACACTGGAGTGCACACGTCCGCGTGCCAATAGTCAGCCTTATTCATGTGTTTTGTGGCACCTGAAGGCTGTTTTAAAAATTGTTACAGGCCAACCTTTCAGGATAATAATGAATTATTATTGTATGATTTTTAAAAAATTTTCTTTTTAATCACTTGTGATACCTTAGCTCTGCAAAATCCTGTGCATTAGTATGTGTCTTTTAGTGGTGGTGTTATTCATGAGTACTTACCCTATATTTTAGAGCCCAAGTTAAGACATAAAGGTGGGGATGCATCTTGCTGAGGGAGAGTTAGTCAGTTGGATCACCCATCTAAACATCTTAACCCCCGATAGACTGAAGGGACTTCATGAGTTCTTGCAAGGAGCTTGTCTTCCTGGAAATGAAACACTCTTCATTTCTTTTTGCTGGGCTTTACATTTACATGTTGGTGATTCTTGTTGATTTTCAGTTTTTTGACCTGGAGAAATTATTTTATTATTGTAGTCACTCCTAGAAAACCAGTGGAAAAGATTTTGTACTTACAAAAATATTTTAGTGGAAAACATCATGGAACAGGCCCCTGGGACTTAGAGCCTAAGTTCTGCATGGACTTCAGCCCTGCGTAGTCTGTGTCAGTCCCTGATAGGAGAATTCTGGGCACACTTCCAGCAGTAGACTGTGGAACTATTAAAACACAACTTTGAGACTTGTTTTCATTTTGCTTATTTTTACTGGAAGTTGAGAGAGGGGAGGTAAAGTCTTTTTAGCAGTTTTTCTGTGATAGCAAACATAACTACTTACTTACATAGTCCTGTTAAAGGTTAATGCTCAGGGACTTCAGGGGGGAGATGACAGAGCAGGAGGACCCTACACTCACCTCATCTCACAGATACAACTAGATAACACTCACATCAGGGTAAATAACCCAGAGAATGACTCGAAGACTGGCAGAACAGACTCCACAACAAAATGTAGAGAAGAGTCCACATCAAAGAGGATAGGAAGGGCAGAGATGCAGTGGGGAGCAAAACGGACCATGGGTCTGTCCGCTGGTGGGAGGGACCTGCAGGCATGGAGAGGGGAGAGAAACATACTCTCATACTGTGAGCCTGCATGCAAATTTGGCTTTGAAAACCAGAGGGGCTGAATTTCATGAGTTCTTACAACCAGTGTGGCTTACAGCCTAGAACTTTAAAAAAGCAGGTTCAGTTCCGGGAGAGCCTTGAGGGCTATAGAAAACTGAGTTCCCACCCCCACCGCACAACAAACAGCCTACAGAGATAGAGCATAGTGGCAGCACTTTGAAAAAGGCCTGGGGCTTACAGGAGGGAGATTTATTCACTAATCTCAAAGTATGTCCCAGAGGGATAGAGATTACTGGAAGACTCCACCAGGAACAAAGTTGCTGGTGGGTGCCATTCCCCTTCCTCACTCTCCCTCCGCCGCCCTCCAGCATAAACACTCATATACCTGCAGGAGCCAGCCTAGGGGTGGCATTCACTACCTAGTTTGCTTACATTATGCACCCAGCCTTTTCAGCGGGGCCTGCCTCAGGCCTGGTGCTGTGGGTCCCCTTCCCCAGAAGACTAGTGCAAACCTTGCCAACACTGTGTCCGTCCACTGTGCACGTTGTGGGGTCTCAGTTGCAGTAGCGGTGGCCAGTCTTATTAAAACTGTGCACCCTGCCTGTGTGTGCCTTGTGGATTGGCCTGGTCTCAGAGACAGAGACACATCTCCTCTGGCAGAGGACCAGTGCCACCTTGTTAAAACTGCATGCTCCACCCATTACTTTCAAAACAAGATATGTAGCTGAATTTCCTAACAGAAACAAACACAGAAAGTTAGACAAAATGAGGAGACAGAGGAATGTGTCCCAAATAAAAGAGCAGGACAAAACAATAGACAAAAGACACCCTAAGCATAACAGAGATAAGTAATATGCCTGATAGAGAATTTAAAGTAACCACCATACAGATACTTACTGGACTTGAGAAAACAGTGGAACATTTCAGTGAGATCTTTAACAAAGAGAAAACATTGAAAAAGAACCAGAGATGAAGAACATGATAATTGAAATTAAAAATACACTAAATGGAACAAATAGCAGACTAGGGGAAGCAGAACAGATTAGCAACCTGGAGGACAAAGTGATGGAGAGAGTAATCAAGTTGAGCAGGTGAGGGGAAAACAAATTCTGTAAAATGAAAACTTAGGGAACTCAGTGTCCCCCTCAGGCATAATAACATTTGCTTATAGGGATCCCAGGAAAAGGAGAGAGAAAAGGGGGCAGAAAATTTATTTGAAGAAATAATAGCTGGCAAGTTCCTTAATTTGGAGAAGGAAGTAGAAATCCAGATCCAGGAGGTACAGACATCCCCAAACAAAATCAACCAAAGAAGGTCCATTCCAAGACACATAATAATTACAATGGCAGGGGCGCCTGGGTGGCTCAGTCGTTAAGTATCTGCCTTCGGCTCAGGTCATTATCCCAGGGTCCTGGGATCGAGCCCCACATCGGGCTCCCTGCTCAGCGGGAAGCCTGCTTCTCCGTCTCCCTCTGCCCCTGCTTGTGTTCCCTCTCTTGCTGTGTCTCTGTCAAATAAATAAAATCTTAAAAAAAAAAATAATTACAACAGCAAAAAGTGATGATAGAGAATTTTAAAAGCAGCAAGAGAAAAGAGCAAAGTTATGTACAAGGCTACCAGTGGATTTTTCAGCAGAAACTTTGCAGGCCAGACATAGTCAAATGCCTGAAGGAAAATATCTGCAACCAAAAATACTCTATCTGGTAAGGCTATTATTCAGAATAGAAGGAGAGATAAAGTGTTTTCCAGACAAACAAAAGTTAAAAGAATTCATGACCACTAAACCAGCACTACAAGAAATGTTAGTGGAAAACAAAAACCATGAATAATCAAAGTGGGAAGCACAAAAGAAATGAAAATAAGCATATCTGTAAAAACCAGTCAAGGGACTCACAAAGTAAAAGGAAATGAAGTATGACACCATAGACCTAAAATATGGGAGTTGGGGGGAGGGACAGGTAGGTGTAAAGAATAGGTTCAAACTTAGGTGACCATCAGCTTAATAAAGACTGTTATATGGGATGCCTGGGCAGCTCAGTCGTTAAGCATCTGCCTTCGGCTTGGGTCATGATCCCAGGGTCCTGGGATCGAGCTCTGCATCGGGCTCCCTGCTTGGCAGGAAGCCTGCTTCTCCCTCTCCCACTCCCCCTGCTTGTGTTCCTGCTCTAGCTATCTCTCTCTCTCTGTCAAATAAATAAATCTTAAAAAAAGACTGCTATATGCAGAATATGTTGTATACAAACCTAATGGTAACCGCAAATTAAAAACCAGTCTCGATATACCAAAAATAAAGACAAAAGAATCCAAGTAGATCACTAAAGAAAGCCAACTTATGGGGAGAGGAGAGCAAGGGAAGAAAGGAATGGAGAAGAACCTCAAAAACAACCAAAACCAAGTAACAAAATGGCAGTAAATACATACCTATAAATAACTACTATGAATGCAAATGGACTAAATTCTCCAGTCAAAAGACAAAGGGTGATGGAATGGATAAACAAGACCCATATATATGCTGTGTAGAAGAGATTCATTTCAGACCTAAAGACACATGGAGACTGAAAGTGAAGGAATGGAAAAACAATTATGAAAAGAAAGGGAGGGTAGCAATACTTAATATTGGACAAAATAGACCTTAAAACAAACACTGTTACAAGAGACAAAGAAGGACCTACCTAATCATAAAGGGAACAATCTAACAAGAGGATATAACAATTTTAAACATTTATGACCTGCCATGGGAGCTCCCAAATATATAAAGCAGCTATTAACGAACAAAGAAAGAAATTGATAGGAATACAATAATAGGGGACTTTAACACCCCACTTACATCAATGGATAGATCAAAAGAAAATCAAGAAGGAAGGAGTGGCTTTAAAGGACACATTGGATCAGATGGATCTAACAGATATATTCAGAACATTCCATCCTAAAACAGCAGTGTGCACATGGAACATTCTCCATAATACATCACATGTTAGGCCACAAAGCAAGTCTCAACAAATTCAAAAAAGTTATACCATGCATCTTTTCTGAACACAACACTATGAAAGTAGAAATCAACCGCAAGAAAAAACCTGGAAAGAACACAAATACATGGAGATTAAATAACATGCTAGTAAACAATGAATGATTTATTGGTTGACCCAAAGAAGAAATAAAAAAAGATACATGTAAACAAATGAAAATGGAAACACAATGGTCCAAGATTGTTGGGAGCAACCAAAGCCATTCTAAGAAGGAAGTTTATAGCAGCAACACAGGCCTACCTCAAGAATCAAGAAAAATCTTAAACAACCTAACTTACACCTGAGGGAGCAAGAAAAAGAACAAACAAATCCCCAAACCAGGAAAATGAAGGAAATAATGATTAGAGCAGAAATGAATGATATAGAAACTAAAATATAGAACAGATCAAGAAATCAGGAGCTGGTTCTTTGAAAAGATCAACAAAATTGACAAACCTTTAGCCAGATTCATAGAGAGAGAGAGGACTCAAACAAAATCATAAATGGAAGAAGAGTAATAAAAACCAAAACCACAGAAATACAAAGGACTGTAAGAGAATGGTACAAAAAATTATATGCCATCAAATTGGATAACCTAGAAGAAATGGATAAATTCCTAGAAACATATAATCTCCCCAAACTGAACCAGCAAGAAATAGAATATTTGAACAGACTAATTATCAACAGTGAAATTGAATCAGTAATCAAAAGACTCCCAACAGTCCAGGACCAGATGGCTTCACAGGTGAATTTTAACCAAACATGTAAAGAAGAGTTAATACCTGTTCTTAAACTTTTCCAAAAAATAGAAGAGGAAGAAAAATTTCCAAATTCATTCTATGAGGCCAACATAACTGTGATACCAAAATGAAATAAAGGTACCACAAAAAAGAACTACAAGGCCAATATCTCTGATGAACATAGATGCAAAAATCATCAACAAAGTATTATTAGCACATTAAATCTAACAATACATTAAAAAAATCATTTACCACAATCAAGTGGGATTTATTCCCACGATGCAAGAGTGGTTCAGTATTCACAAATCAATCAGTGGCATACATTACATCAGTAAGAGAAAGGATAAAAACCATATGATCATTTCATTAGATGCAGAAAAAGCATTTGACAAAGTACAGCATCCATTCATAATAATAACCCTCAACAAAGTTGCAGATGGAACAGAGCTCAACATAATAAAGACTCTGTATGAAAAATCCACAGCTAACATCATACTCAATGGTGAAAAAGTGAGAGCTTTTCCCATAAGGTCAAGAACAAGACAAGGATGTCCACTCTCACCACTTTTATTCAACATAGTACTGGAAGTTCTATCCACAGCAATCATGCAAGAAAAAGGAATAAAAGGCATCCAAATTGGTGAGGAGGAAGTAAAACTTTCACTATTTGCAGATGACATGAGACTATATATATATATGGAAAACTCTAAAGACTCCATCAAAAAATTAATAGAACTGATAAATGAATTCAGTAAGGTCACAGGATACAAAATCAATGTACAGAAAACCTAATAATGAAGTAGCAGCAAGAGAAATTAAGAAAACAATCCCATTTACAATTGCACCAAAAAGAATAAAATACCTAGGAATAAACTTGACCAAGGAAGTAAAAGACCTGTACTTTGAAAAGTATAAAACATTAATGAAAGAAATTGAAGATGACACAAATGGAAAGATACTCTATGCTCATGGATTGGAAGAATTACTATTGTTAAAATGTCCATACTACCTAAAGCAGTCTACAGATTTTATTTATTTTTTCCTTTTTGCTTACTGTTGTACTACTGGTTCTTTTTTTTTATTATGTTAATCACCATACATTACATCATTAGTTTTTGATGTAGTGTTCCATGATTCATTGTTTGCGTATAACACCCAGTGCTCCATTCAGTATGTGCCCTCTTTAATACCCATCACCAGGCTGACCCATCCCTCACCCCCCTCCCCTCTAGAAACCTCAGTTTGTTTCTCAGAGTCCATCGTCTCTCATGGTTCGTCTCCCCCTCCGATTTCCCCCCTTCATTCTTCCCTTCCTGCTATCTTCTTCTTTTTCTTTTTTTTTTTAACATATAATGTATTATTTGTTTCAGAGGTACAGGTCTGTGATTCAACAGTCTTACACAATTCACAGTGCTCACCATAGCACATACCCTCCCCAATGTCTATCACCCAGCCACCCCATCCCTCCCACCCCCCACCACCCCAGCAACCCTCAGTTTGTTTATTTGACAGAGAGAGACACAGCAAGAGAGGGAATACAAGCAGGGGGAGTGGGAGAGGGAGAAGCAGGCCTCCCGCTGAGCAGGGAGCCTGATGCCAGGCTCGATCCCAGGACCCTGGGACCACGACCTGAGCCGAAGGCAGATGCCTAATGACTGAGCCACCCAGGTGCCCCAAGCAATCTACAGATTTAATACAATCCCTATCAAGATACCATCAGCATTTTTCACAGAACTAGGAAAAACAATCTTAAAATTTGTATAGAACCACAAAAGACTCCCAAGTAGTCAAAGCAGTCTTGAAAAAGAAGAACAAAACTGGAGGTATCACAATTCCAGATTTCAAGGTATACTACAAAGCTGTAGTAATGAAAACAGTATGGTACTGGCACACAGATCAATGGAACAGAACAGAGAGTGTAGAAATGGACCCACAATTATATGGTAATTAATATATGATAAAGGAGGCAAGAATATGCAATGGAAAAGAGTCTCTTCAAACAGTGGTTTTGGGAAAACCCAACCATTTTCTTAAACCATACACAAAAATAAACTCAAAATGGATTAAGGACATAAATGTGCGCTCTGGAACCTTAAACTGCTAGAAGAGAGCAAAGGCAGTAATTTCTCTGACATCGGCCATAACAACATCTTTCTAGATAGGTCTCCTGAGGTAGGGAAACAAAAACAAAATAAACTGTTGGGACTACATCATAGTGAAAATCTTCTGCACAGTAAAGGAAACCAACAAAACTAAAAGAAACTATGGAATGGGAGAAGAGATTTGCAAATGACAGTCCAATAAGGGGTTAGTATCCAAAATATATAAAGAATTTATACAACTCAACAGCCAAAAAACAATCCAATTAAAAAATGGGCAGAAGACGCAAATAGACATTTGTCTAAAGACATACAGATGGCCAACAGACACGTGAAAATATGCTCAACATCACTCATCATAGAGAAATGCAAATCCAAACCACAATGAAATATCACCTCACACCTGTCAGAAAATCAACAACACAAGAAACAAGTGCTGGTGAGGATGTGTAGAAAAAGGAACCCTTGTACACTTTTGAAAGAAATGCAAATTAGAAATTTGGAATTTTGAAATTCCACTGTGGAAGACAGTATGGAGGTTCCCCAAAAAGTTAAAAATAGGACTACCATGTGATCCAGTAATTGCACTACTGGGCATTTACCCAAAGAATACAAAAACACTAATTTGAAGAGATAGATGTACCCCTATGTTTATTGCAGCATTATATACAATAGCCAAATTATGGAAACAGCCCAGGTGTCTTTCGGTAGATGAATGGATAAAGAAGATGGTGTGTGTGTGTGTGTGTGTGTGTATACACACAATGGAATATTATTCAGCTATAAATAAGAATGAAATCCTGTCATTTGTAACAGTATGGATGGATCTAGAGAGTATAATGCTAAGCAAATAAGCCAGTCAGATAAAGACAAATACCATATGATCTCACTCCTCTGTGGAATTTAAGAAACAAAACAAATGAACAAAGGGGAAAACAAGAGAGACAAACCAAAAAACTTACTCTTAACTATAGAGAACAAACAGATGGTTAGTTACTAGAAGGGAGGTGGGTGGGGCGAATGGGAAATAGGTGAAAGGGTTTAGGAGTACACTTATCTTGATGAGCACTGAGTAATATATGGAAGTGTTAAATCACTATATGGTACACCTGAAACTAATATAACACTATGTTGTTAAGTACACTAGAATTGAAACAAAAGGCGAATGCTCAGTTGGGCAGAATAGCTAATATCATGAGTCACATGCCTTCACAATGCTAAGTATAAAGAAATGAAGCTCATTTGAGGTTATTTCCAACTTTGTCACCTTAAATACTCTTCTCCCCCCCTTCTCTTGGCAAATGCTAGAGGCAAAGAAGAAGATTGAACAACAGGGAGGCTTCACCTTTGAAAACAAAGGAGTCCTCTCCGCATTTAACTTTGGGACTGTGCCCAGCAACAACTGAAAGAGGGAACATCAGCCTACCAAATGTCATCACTACATTTTACTTCACCAGGGGAATGTGAAGGTCAAGGGGTGGGACAGAGTGGGCTGTGCCGGTTAACTCTGGCATTAGGCAGCACTTTTATCCACTGCCTCTTCCGCTTTGAACTTTCTCCCCCCGAAATATATATTCTCAGCAGCTACTGTAATGTATGAAATTCAAGGAAAACAAAATCAGTGGACTGAAGAGGACAAATCATATTCTCCAAAGGACGAATGACCAAGGTGGTTTTAGAGGACTGAATTGAATTGCACGTCTCAGGTTTTTGCCATGCAGAATCAGTGGATTTATGCGGATAACAGTGCCTTCTGTTGTACATGAATTATCTGAAAAATTTTTTTGGAGTGCATTGCAATTTTTTTTAAAGCATAAAACATATTTCTAGATATAATGTAAACCTTGGCTATATGTTGACTTATTCTGCATTTTACTATGTGAATTTACTGTTAGGCAGTTAGCTACAAGTCACTCTGGTTTCAAAAACATCACCGCTCGCCTCGCTCACCCTGCTGCTGGGGGCTGTCTTCAGGGGTTGTAAAATATGCACTGGCTCTGGTTTTTCATCAGATGTTTTGTGGCTTTCCTAATAAGTGTCTTATTCCCTCTTCCATTATATTTTTGAGCCCTGAAAGAGGTGGTATTTTTTTTGGAGTCAGCAAATATGAATATAAATTTCATTTTTAACGTGGTAAGTTCAGGACTCAAAAGTTTCTTGGCAGCAAGTGGCAGGAACTCTTTAGTCACTGGAATTAACAGTAAGTCCGAGTGTATTCTGAATCATGTACTTAATTATGTAATGAATTGATAATTATACTAAAGCACATTGAACCCTTAGGAGAAGGGTGCTACATAAGCACGTGGTCTTTCCAGATAGGGGCTTGCATTTTCAACAATGTATCATTCCAGCTCTGTTGGACCTGGGTCCAAAACATTTTCTAACAAAATTTTTTATCTAGGATAAAGAGCCAAATGAATTTAACTTCTACTTTTCACATATCTGAATTTTCTCCTACCTAATTCATTCTAGCCTTTATTATAGCTAAGTTCAGCTTGTTATATTTTTCACGGGTTGGGATGTTGGTCAGCTGCCCTCTTGGATGGTAATGATGCCTATAGGAAACATAGCAGATGGAGGTTACGGCTATTTTTCTGAACAAATTCAAGACTAAAACATGGATCATAGTGTTTTCATACAGTAAAGTGAAAGTGTATTTTCAAAACCTAATGTAATTACTGGATGTGATACAGTTTTCTGTTTTTGTGAAATGTCTGCAGCTTATATTTCCCCTGACTGGAGGAATTTTCTCCAGGTGCTTCCTATATTACCATCCCTTGTTAATATTAACTCTTTTTAGAAGTTTAGGTTATTTAAGTAGTTTTTACAGAAGTAGCCTAAGAAGCCATGAGTTTCAGAGTTAAAAGGATCCCTTGCTTTCCTCTGTCCCTCTTCCCAAGGCATTGCTATTGAATGTACCAGCTGGCAGAAGAGAAAGATGGCTCTGGGGGACATTTTAGATATCTTAAGCTTTGAAACTCTTCTTATTCTCCCCATGTCCAAAATGGTTTATTTTAACATAAATAATATGCCTTCACACTGGATTGTAAAAGGCATGTGATTTTATTTTTGTGAGGTATTGTCTTCTGCAGTATTAAAGGGAAAGAGATGTTAATGTGTATCATCCTATCTTGTTTTTGAAGCCAGGGTAGTTGTATAATTTTGTTACCAGCAGTGCTAACCTGAATGTGATCTGGTTACCTTGGAAATGCAGGAACTTATATGAATGTACTGTAAAATAAAACATGGACTGATTCCCAGGATTCTGAACCTCTGTCTGAAATGTTTTCTGAAATGTGGAGGTGCTTTAAGCAGGTGATCAAAATCCATCAGGGGCGCCTGGGTGGCTCAGTTGGTTAAGCAACTGCCTTCGGCTCAGGTCATGATCCTGGAGTACTGGGATCGAGTCCCACATCGGGCTTCCTGCTCAGCAGGGAGTCTGCTTCTCCCTCTGACCCTCTTCCCTCTCGTGCTTTCTATCTCTCATTCTCTCTCTCAAATGAATAAATAAAATCTTAAAAAAAAAAATCCATCAGTATGTTTTCTTGATTTTGGGGGGAGGTGGAGCAAGGTAGCTGTTGGCTTGGGAGGGTAAGAAGGGTTCATTAGGAGAAGCTAGAGTGGAGAGTGGTTGGGAGCTAGGGCCTATCTCATAAATCGTGGTGTCCCAATGAGAAAGACAAATGCTCTGAAAAAGCAAAGGTCATTAAAGCCACATCAGGACCTTGAAGGAAAATAAAAAAGGTGCTGGAAATAGAGCCATTTTCTGATTGACTTCTCCTAATCTAATGACAGCCTAAGTTGAGTGGAATGGGGACTTTCAGGGAAGATGGCAGAGTAGAAAGATCCTTAGCTCACCTACTCCCATGGCTACACCTAGATAAAACCCACATCAGTGTAAATAACTGAGAAAACAACCCAAAGACTGGCGGAACAGACTCTCTGCTGCTAAATATAGAGAAGAGGCCACTTCAAAGAGAGTAGGAAGGGCAAGATGCAGTTGGAAACCAAACTGCCCCTCAAAACTGATCATGGGAGGGAAGGACACCTCAGGCATGGATAAAGACTAGCAGACCCCATGCCAGGCACCCCAGGCATGGGGGACCCGCAACGGGAAGACTAATCCCCATAACATTTGCTTTTGAAAACCAGAGGGACTTTGTAAGTTTTTACAGTCAATGGGGCTCAACATTGGGAACTTTAAAAACCAGCAGGCTCAGCTCAGAGAGCAAGAGGGCAAGAGGAAACGGAGTCCCCACACTTAAGGAGCATAGCAAACAACCCCACTGAGATATGGCATAGAAGCAGCAGTTTAACAAATGTCCAGGGTGTACAGGAAGCTATATTTACTAATCTCAGGATGTGTGCTGGAGGGGCAGGGATCTTTAGGAGATTTCTCCAAGAACAAAAGCTTGCAGGCACCATTTCTCTCACCTGGCCCCTAGTCTAGATAACATGCACACCTGCAGGACCCAGCACAGCGTGAACACTCTCCACCTAGCTTTGCTAACAAGTGCACCCATTCCTCCAACCCACGCTCAGAAGTCCATCCAAAGCAGTGCCACAAGCTTGGTAGTACAAAAGCAGCCCCAACAGGGGCCAGCACCACCCCAAAATGACTCCTGCCCTGAGAGGAGGGGAAGAAAGCCACACATCCAGTCCAAATGTGGTGACAACAGTAGCTGTGGGCAGACATCCCGTCTGACTGTAGGCCCTGCCCACCAGGGAACATCTCTCAGGGGACAACATAGGGAGAGTGCCCTACAGTTAGGTGCTACTACAACTCTGGCAAATGCCTGGTCTGACCCAACTCAAGCCCAAGGTAGTCCCAGACTGACCCATTAACAACATAGGGACCAAACCCTCCCCACAACAAAGAGAGCCATTGCTGATGACTGAAAGCAAATGCAGTTCAGCCATAATAATAGGGTGCATGCAACACACATGGGAGTTACCCCTAAAGCACCAGGTTCTGGTGAACACGAGACACTGCACTGCAGGGCACTACAGGACCTCTTCTTCATAAGGATATTACTTTCAAGAGTAGGAGGTTTAACCAACTTTACTAACACCCAGAAACAGACCCAGAGTTAGACAAAATGAGGACACAGTGGAATATATCCCAAATGAAAGGACAAAATCACAGTGAAAGAGCTAAGGAGATGGAAATAAATAATATGCCTGATAGAGAATTTAAAGAATGATCATAAAAATACTCGTTGGACTTGAGAAAAGAGTGGAGAATCTCAGTGATTTCTATCTCAACAAAGAGAAAACGTAAAAGACAACCAATCAGAGATGAAGATCTCAATAACTGAAATTAAAAATACACTAGAGGGAATAAGGCCAGAGAAAGCAGAAGAACAGATCAGTGACCTGGAGGACAGAGTAATGGATGGAGGTCAATCATGACAAACAGGAAAAAGAAAAAAGAAAAAAATGAGACTAGATAAAGGGAACTCAGTGATACCATCAAGCGTAATAATATTCACATTATGGGATCTCAGAAGAGAGAAAAGGGGGCAGAAAATTTATTTGAAGAACTAAGAGCTGAAAACCTCCCTAATCTGGGGAAGGAAACAGTTATTCAGATCCTGGAGGCACAGAGAGCCCCCAACAAAATCAATCCAAGGAGGTCCACACCAAGACACACAGTAATTAAAATGGCAAAAAGTAGTGATAAGAGAGAATCTGAAAAGCAGCAAAAGAGTTACATATAAGGAAACCCCATAAGACTATCAGCTGGTTTTTCAGCTGAAACCTTGCAGGCCAGATGGGAATGGCCTGATTTATTCAAAGTGCCAAGAGAAAAAGGCTGCAACCAAGAATACTCTATCTAGCAAAGCTATCACTCAGAATAGAAGGAGAGATAGAGTTTCCTACAAAAACACAAGTTAAAGGAATTCATTACCATTAAACCAACCTTACAAGAAATATTAAAGGGGATTCTTCAGAAAGGAAGGTCCAGGGCACCTGGGTGGCTCAGTTGGTTAAGCAGGTCATGATCCTGGAGTCCCTGGATCGAGTCCCGCATCGGGCTCCCTGCTCGACAGGGAGTCTGCTTCTCCCTTGACCCTCCCCCGTCTCATGTGCTCTCTCTCTCAAATAAATAAAATCTTAAAAAAAAAAAGAAAGGAAAGACCATAGGCAGGAGTAAGAAAAATAGGAAGCAGAACAGCAGTAAATCAAGTATATCTACAAAAATCAGTCGAGGGATTCACAAAATAAAAGGATATAAAATGTGACATGATATACCTAAAATGTGGAAGAGAGAAGAATAAAACTTTAATGCTCTTAGAATGGGTTTGAACTGAAGTGACCATCAGTTATGTTACTTATGTTACTATGCTAAGCTTAACATAGACAGCTATACATATATATAAACCTAATGGAAACCACAAATCAAAAACCAGTAATAGGTATGCAAAAAATAAAGAGAAAGGAATCCAAGTATTACACAAAAGAAAGCCAAAAACTGCAGAAGAATAGAGAAGAACTTCAAAAACAACTGTAAAGTAACAAAAAGCAGTAAGTACATACCTGTCAATAATTACTTTGAATGTAAATGGACTAAATGTTCATATCAAAAGACAGGGTGACTGAATGGATAAAAAAGCAAGACCCATCTATATGCTGCCTACAAGAGACTTATTTCAGACCTAAAACATGAAGACTGAAAGTGAAGGGATGGAAAAACAATTATTATGAAAATAGAAGTGAAAACAAAGGCAGGGTAGCAATACTTATATTGGACAAAATAGACCTTAAAACAAAGACTGTTAAAAGAGGTAAATGAGGAGGGAGACGAATCATGAGAGACTATGGACTCCGAGAAACAAACTGAGGGTTTTAGAGGGGTGGGGGGTAGAGGGATGGGTTAGCCTGGTGATGGGTATTGAAGAGGGCACGTACTGCATGGAGCACTGGGTGTTATATGCAAACAACGAATCATGGAACGCTACATCAAAAACTAACAATGTACTGTATGGTGACTAACATAACATTAAAAAAAAAAAAGTAAAGAAGGACCCCACATAATCATAAAGGGAACAATCCAACAAGAAGATATAATGATTGTAAATATTTATGCACCCAATATAGGAGCCCCCAAATATATAAAGTAGCTATTAACAAAGAAATCGATAAGAATACAATAATAGGGGACTTTTAACACCCTATTTACATCAATAAATAGATCATCCAAACAGAAATTCAAGAAGGAAATTCAAGATCATCCAAACAGAAATTTGAAGGACACATTAGACCAAATGGATCTAACAGATATATTCAGAACATTCCATCCTGAAACAGCAGAGTACACATTCTTTTCAAGTATACATGGAACATTCTCTATAATACACCACATGTTAGGCCCACACAGCAAGTCTCAACAAATTCAAAAAGATAGAAGTCATACCATGCATCTTTTCTGAACATAATTCTATAAAACTAGAAACTGACCAAAGAAAAAATCTGAAAAAAACACAAATACTTGGAGGTTAAATAACATGCTAGTAAACAATGAATGGGTCAACCAAGAAATCAAAGAAAAAAAATATATGTAAACAAATGAAAATGAAAACACAATGGTCCAAAATCATTGGGATGCAGCAAAAACTATTCTGAGAGAGATTATAACAAGACCAGTCTACCTCAAGAAACAAGAAAAATCTTAAATAAACAACCTAACCCTACACCTGAGAGAGCAAGAAAAACAAATCCCCAAACCAGCAGAAGGAAGGAAATAATAGATTAGAGTAGAAATAAATGAAATAGAAATTTCAACAACAACAAAACAACAAAAGAAAGCAATGGAATAGACCAATGGAACTAGGAACTAGTTCTTTGAAAAGATCAACAAAATTGAAAAATCTTCAGCCAGACACATCCAACAGAGAGAGAGAGAGGGAACTCAAAATCAGAAACAAAAGAGAAATATCAACCAACACCACAGAAGTACAATTGTAAAAGAATATTATGAAAAACTGTATGCTAACAAATTGGATAGCCTAGAAGAAATGGATAAATTACTAGAAACATATAACCTCCCCAAACTGAACCAGCAAGAAATAGAATATTTGAGCAGACTGATTACCAGCAATAAAATTAAATCTGTAATAAAAAAATTCCCAACAAACAACAGTCCAGGACCAAATGGCTTCACAGGTGAATTCAAATATTTAAAGAGTTAATACCTATTCTCAAATTATTCAAAAACACAGAAGAGGAAAGAAAATTTCCAAATTCATTCTATGAGGCCAGCACTACCG